CTGTATTTACGTTGCTCTTAGGTTTGTGTATGACCACTTGTGGATTGAATTGTACTCGTTTCTTTTGTCTAGTATAAGTCACTTCCGATTGAGTTGATATAGGACTTTATGATCTAAGATTATAATCATGGGTCACTACTTCAGCTTGTGTCATTAATGGGGTACTAGGGATATTATCCTCAGTTACTTGGTTACTATCCTCATTGTTACCATTAATAACTGGGGTATATTCTGTTGTTATTAACTTATCACCTAGTATTATGATATCATCTCTTTCTACTCTCGGTATTTTTGGTTCTGGTTCTATTATTTCTTCTTCATCATAAAAAGATGAATCAAACTCATTCAAATTATCAGTCTTTTCCAGAATACCCTTATCTTGTTCTGTTTGATTAGTTTCTTCTACAAACTCATATTGATAAGGCTTATAATCCTTTACCTTCTTTAACCTGTTCACATGTACTAACTGTTTATTCTTTCCATAGATTTCTTGAATTTGAAAATTAACTGGACTAGTCTGTTTCAAGACTCTAAAAGGACCTTTCCATAACTTTGCTAACTTTTTAGTATTTCCTTTTTTGACTATTGGGGTATAAAACAACACTTTATCCCCTAACTTTACATCACTAACCTGTGCCTTTTTATTCACTTTCCTTTCTCTACTTTCGGCAGCCTTAGTTAAATGTTCGTTAGCTAACTCAAATGCTATTTGCATTCTCTGTACTAATTCTGCCTTATAGTCATAAGCTATTGCATGACTATTTTTCTTAGGAGCTAATATCTCTTGCATGGATAATATAACATCCCTACCATGCAATAAAAAGAATGGACTTTCCTGAGTTGACTCGTTCTCAGCATTTCTATATGCTAACTGTAACAAGTGAATGCTCATCCCAAGTTTTCTGATCCTTCTCACAGTATTGAGGGATCATATCTAATAAGGTTCTATTACATCTCTCTACTAAACCATTAGTAGCTGGATGATAAGCTGTGGTTTTGATTTTATTTACACCTAATAATTCACAAACTTCCTTCATTAACTTAGAAAAGAAGTTACTACCTCTATCTGTAAATAGATATTGGGGATATATAGGATAAATGTTCATTATCCAAGACCAGATGAGTTCTGTTCCATCGACTGAGTAAGGTATACAAGATCGATCCTGTCATTCTGGGCTTGGGGTGTTGCCTTTTGGACTTCTTCAAGTGGAAGAGAAAGTTTGTCTGTTTCAGTGTTGTTTGATTTCTCATCGTAATTCTGGTGGTTCGGAATACATCATTGTATGGCTACAGGTTGGAATCCAATCAAAAGTTTATCTATATATATATATATAATGTTGCTGTCCACTTGCCCTGGCCACCAACATGGGATATAGGGACCAAGACCCTTTAATTCCATCCCTGAGTAGTGGAACCTTGACTACCAGGTTGGTGCTGGCCTATAATGGTGATTATTCCTGTCCTATTCCACCCTTGATACAGGAACTAAGTTCTGGGTGAAGAGCATATCTGTTCTGAATGTAGTGCAGTTCCCCCCCACTCAAATACCACTCTTATCTTGGTACACCCTTGATCTATGCAGATGCTCTCAGTATGGATAATGCCCTCACCAGCCCCCTCCACCTTCTTAATGTGGGATTCTGACTATCAAGTGTCAGTGGATGGTAAGTTAACATTTTCTAAATTCAAAATGTATTTCCAATAATACTTATATCTGCTGACACTCCCACCCTTCCTCCCCATTAAGAGCTCATTTTCGAGACTGGGATGGTGTCAGTCTCAAAAAAGTGATAAAATTATCTGACTGAGATGCTAATATACAATACTATGACAGAGGGTACATTGAAATAGGTGGAGAGTATATTGTCAAGGGCAGTTGAGTGGGGTATGAAACATTGGAACAAATGCGAAAAAATCAGACCAATGCTTAGATGGTCAAAGATTGAAACCCTGGTGGTCGAATGGTAGCTATAATTGTCAGCAGAGGTAAGTCTTATTGAAAATACATTTTCAATTTAGGAATATGTTAACTTCCAAAACTTACTTCAGGAACAGTAGAATCTGACTGTTGGTCTTTTATTAGTTTAAACAAAATAATCATACAATAGGGAATGCACTAATGAAGAACATTCTTATATTCATCCACAAGGAAGATCGTGCTATTGTGAGAGGACAAATCCATTCTTACCACATAGTTTCTCTGCCGTATGGAATGAGCATTCAAGTTGCATTTATCCTGCCAGTGGGTGGTAGTGTTAGTGTGAAGTGGGTTTAATCATAGTTGGATATTATTTTTATACAGTGTGAAATTTGTGGTACTTAGGATATTTGTGTCACAAAGATAAACTTTCAGTAGCACCAGCACATGTTTAGCACGCACATAATTGATGCATCCTGTTGGAGTAAAAGTGAAAAAAATGGTGAAACCATGACTTCAGGTGTGGTATCTTTGAGTAATCTGAATATTCGTTCAAGTTATCAGAAAGGTCCACTGAATAACAGGATATTTACTCAAGATATTGATTTCAGAGGAGCAATAAATTTCTTACTAACTGAGTTGATGGAAAATGAAGAAAACAAAAATGGACAAAAAGTGAATTTCAAAATGAAGTCTTTATCTAACACTAAACACACACACAATGTGTGCACTTGCAGTCTACTTATGTCAAACCATCATTTTTGGTGGATCTACACTAGACATCTGCTGTGGTGTTCCAGACCAACCTGCCAAGTCTAAGGCTTTTTAGTTTCAATGTGATTGGTCATTCCCATTTACATATATTGGACAATAACATCTAGATATCATCTGAACAACCTTTGAAGGTATTACTGATCTGGCTAAGTTGTACAACTCAAGTTTAAACAATGTGAAACAAGTTGGTCTAGTTTTTGATTAGATAAATTACATCAACATTTACTATGTAGAATCTTTTTGTTATTGCAAGTTTTTTCATTTTTTATTTTGGCTGTATTATCAGAGCCTTTTTTGCTTCCTCAACTGAGGTTCCAATAAAATTGCCACAACCAGCAGTAATATCAGCAGTTTAATGGTGTAAATGTTGATGCACATAACTTACTAAAATATAAATACCTATAAGTCATGATTCTTATACAACAAGTCCAAATTTGATAGTTTTAGTGATCTAAAATTTATGTAACATCAAAAATAAGTATTTCTTTTCCATTATATCATCAACATTTCTAAAGTGACAGATGGAATATTAAATCCTAGTTTTTATGGAATAAAACCAAACTAAATTAGTTTGGTATCAGTGGCTTGAGCTTCAGAACTTTTTCAGATAATAGATCTTGACATTTTCTAAATGATAGGCATGTGATTTTAATGCTTGAGTTTACATAATAATCTGTGACTCCCTCCCCCCCCCCCTTCCTCAATTTTGAGAACAGTCATGCTCAAAAGAAAGGTTTTACTCTTCATGAATAATAATTATCACCTGAATTCAACTGAAGGAACTTCTACTTACTATGTACATGTCTTCCACTGCTGGGAGTTTGCAGAAAAAACATCCTTGTATCAATGCATTCTCATATTGCCTGCATTTTCTGTCTTGCATCCAGGTGAGCAGTGCTTTTTTGCTTGTACTGTTTGTTTAATATAGATGGGAATATAGTACACAGTAGTGTGGTTAAAGAAAAGGGTCTTGGCATAGTGGTGGATAAGTCATTCGGGGAATACACTACACAGTAGTGTGGTTGAAGAAAAGGGTCTTGGCATAGTGGCGGATAAGCCACTCAGGGAATACTGTACACAGTAGTGTGTTGAAGAAAATGATCTTGGTATAGTGATGGATAAGTCGCTCAGGGAATACAGTACACAGTAGTGTGGTTGAAGAAAATGATCTTGGTATAGTGGTGGATAAGTCACTCAGGTTATTGAGGTATTTTTCTGTTGCTAGTTGTAATGGTAATAGAATTTTAGGGTATACTAATAGACATATTAGTTACAAGTCAAAAATGGTAATTATCCCTATATAAGTCACTAGTTAGACTATACCTGAAGTACTATTAACAGTTTTGATATCTATCTCAAAAAGGATTGTAAAGTACCCACAAGAGTGCTATTAAAGAAGGATGATTCCAGAGATGAAAATATTATCTTACAGAAGAACTGAGTGATCAACTCAATTACCCGATGTGATCAATTATTTTTGAGCATCGATTATCTTGATTGATGTCACATAGAATATCTGATGAATCAAAATTATGATTAATATTGTGAAAATAATCAACTAATCAAAATGAGTGTTTTTAACTATAATTGTTTTCAGTCATTTAAACTATTCAGTAATCAAAATATTGCCATTATGATTTCTCCTTATTATTTTCAATTACTTCAAGGTTGTTTATCTTAATCTATTAGTGTCATGTAAATTAGTGTTTCTGATTATTACTGTTTTCACATATTTCAACTATTCAAGCCTCATATGAGAATAATTTTTTAATTGAATAATGAACTCAACAGTAATCAATTAACATATTCCACTAATTGCCAGCTTTGATGATTTTTTGAAAATATAGGTTGGATTTAGATTTTTTCTTTTCTGAAAGGTGGACAAGCAAGGACAGTTCTAGAACACCCTAATTCCCTGTATGTTATGTTACAGTATTAATTTGTCAAAAGCTGAGTTGTGGACTTCAGAATGAAGGCTGAAGTACTTTTTGATCTTAGTTAATAAAGTGCTACTATGTGAAATGATATGATCAATCTAATACACATCTATATGTAGCTGTCTAGGATATGAATTTAAAAGTATATTATCAAATCCGACTTCTGCACTTATTAAGTTTGTACTTCTGTTCAGCTTTTTGCCAATTTTTGTTATCTCAGTGAATTTATCTATGAAAGTAAGTTATTTATCTCTCCATTGTTAACTTACAAATGCTTTGATACATTTGTGTTTTAAAATATACTTTTAATTCACATAAAACACATTAAAGGTATACTAATAAATTTTTTATACTAATATACTTTTTGCTAGGCCATCCATGGATACAGAGAAACTGAGAAGTTAAAATGGAATCAAAAGAATGAAGTGACACTTCAGCGGGTGAAGCAGATGGCTTTTCCTACTAATGAACCACTACTTAAACATGTACATGTTCTTGATTTAGCTGAGGATGGATATATCAAGCCTCATATTGATAGCATAAGAGTAAGAACAAAAATCTTGTTTAAGTAATGCCTACAGGTAGGCTTACATCATTTCTGGCTGCTTTAGTCATTGATGAGGAGGTGCATATGTCTGGAAATGTTGTTGTGCAAGATCACAGGATTATTGAGGATGTTAACATTATTGCTTTTGATATTCTTATATTGATCAGTTTTAGACATGATAAAAGTGTGTCCATGGTGAAAAAAAATATTTTTATGTTTTGAAAATCATTGACCAAGAAGAATGTTTTGGTTACTGTTCTAAATGAAAAAAAAATTAATAAAGTTTACCACTTTGATTGAGCCAGTAGAAGCATAATGTACACTTCACAAGATATGTGTTGTGACATAAAACCCATTCCAGAATTGATGCATAGGCAACTGAAGTTGTTAATGAATGAAGAATTATGACATTATAAAATACTCATAAAATGAAGAAGGTTACGGTTTATATGTGTATAATAAAAAAGTCAATAAAGCTATTTTAGGATATTTCAATCTGAAACTTATAAAGCTTTTATTTTTGTTATAAGTTGAAATACAACAAATCTGACTAATTCATTGAAGGTGAGGAGTACCTTTCTTTAAATTATATTATTGTGAGAAAAGCTGCTTTGGTCAATCTCCGAAAAGTTTTAAAAGTAAAGTTCTGGTCTTAAGGAAATTTATTGTAAAAGTATGATAAAGCTTACTGCGTGTAGTAATGTGGGTTTTAATTTTCATATCTATTAAGTTGCTTTACCCTGTAGAAAGCTTTGAAGGACTGAAGAATTGTTAAACTTGTTCCTATTTTTAAAAAGGGGGTAATGATAGATTTATAAAAATACATGCATTAATATGGCTTTAACTTTTAGCAATGTGTAGGATTAATTTTTTTCAGAGTAAGTGTATGAGCAAGAGGTGATCCTAGTTAAGTTTATAATATTATTCAAGTCATTGATAAGCCTCTGATTTATTTATGCTATGTGCTGAAGATAATTGGACAAGAGGGAAACTGATTTTAAGATAGGAAAAAGACAAGCTTCAGTTAAGACAATTTTATTTTTCAAACAAGGTGATTGAAAAATTGAGTGTGTTGCTGTCAACAGTACTGAAGACTAGCATTTTACAAGACTTTAAGAGGGGGATTGTTGATTTCCTGAAAACAGAGAGTGAGATTAAATTTCTATGTTTCTCAAGGCACAGCCTTGAAGGACCAATTAGCCCCTTGTTGTCTGTATATTAGGTTGTTATACAGAAAAGTTTTTTTAAGAGTTGCATTTAATGGACAATACCAAGTGTGAATTTAGAAGAGGATTCTTATACATTAGAAAATTATATTCTTATATTTATTTCATAGTATGATTACTATGACAAAATATGATCTTGTCTAAATACAGTATGCAGACCTAGGAGAAATTGGTTTGAGAAATACAAATAAAATCTTAAGTGTCATCATTTTCAATACAGTGATTGAAAAGGAATTTGATTTGATTATTAAGCATCTTAATGTACAGTAATATTCAATTTTTTCTTGTATCTGTGTATCTAAATTCACAGGAGGTAATTAAGTAAAATTGGGAATTGGTATCCATTTTGAAAACACTAAAAGTAGATTAATGAAGTGTTTTAAAATCAAACATTTCTTTTTTTTGCACATGGAATATGTTTAGCACCCAATATAGAAAGCCAGTCAAAGGAGCAACTAAGTGCTTTTCACCCTATTTACAAACAGAATTGGGTTGCTCAACTTGGGTGTCACACAAATTCTCTAGCATGAAAGATGGGTGTAACATGGCACATGTGGTATCAAAATAGACAACAGTCTTTTCTGCTGGTAAGTTGGATGATGCTTCAAGGGTATAATAGCCTTCATTCTGAAATGAGAGTGATCCTCAGTCATGTGGGTGGCACCTTCACTTTAAGAAGACTGGCATTGTTTTTTCCTTATACAATGTTATATTCTCTCAAGCTGGAAAACTAAAACTACAACTGCATAAGATTTAAGATAAAAAAAAAGAGAGAGCTTTTGCATAACTTAATACCTCTCTCTGTCTCCAATAAACAGAATTCCCATGGTCCTGGGCATTCATAAAATGTTTTTAAATTTTTGAATGTCATTTCCAGGCCTAGAAATATTATGGAAAATTCTGATAGCTTTTGAAATTTAGACAAGAAGCTGACTCAAAAATTTAATGAAGTTTAAAGATAAGTAAACAGTTTGAAAACATCAGTTATCAATTAAGAAAAACTTTATATTTTATCCATTATTTTCAGTATTTAATCTCTGTATGAGTTCAGTAGATTTGACCGATCTCACATCCACCATAACAAATTAGGAAATAAATATAAATTATGCCTCTTTCATTCTAGAATGAACACAAATTATAACACCAAAACAGAAATGTTTAGACAAAATAACATAACATAACATTATGTATTTACATATATTTATTATTTTTATTATATTGACCTTTCAGCCTTGCATGGCTAACAATATAGAAGTTACAGTGATGCAACTCACATGCACTCATGTTACTGTATCAAATAACATAAAACTGACCTTTGGTCTGTACAAAGTAACTTGTCTTGGCTGTGTTTTAGTAAACTGGTATTCTGTGAATACCTAGATTATTGGTATTTTGAAATAAGTTCTTAAACTTATTTTTCTTAAAACATAGAACAGTAAATAAAGAAGTAAAGCAAACAATTATCTCTTCTAGTTTAAAACTTTTGTACTCTTTGTGCTGCTTGATGTAGGTTGCTAAGCCTTTAAATATTTTGTACGTGGAGGATATGAAACAAAAATAATTTTTTTTAGGTTTTATATAGATATTTAAACAACTAAAAAAAATAATAGAATTCAAAACCATAGAATTCATCTGTAACTTATCAAGCTTAGTAACTAGGCTGTAGTTGAGTCTAAAAAAATATGAAATTTCGAGCAGACTAAAGACACATCCTACCCAACCTCCTTGAAATATTGGTTCAAAAGAAAGAAATGGCATTGAAACCTGTTAATATGCTTGAGAAAGCCACAAGGGGGATATTCTGAGCTTCCCATTGGTTATTCATGTCATATATAAAAACAAGTGTATATAAGGGAGCGTTTCCAAAAATGGAAAGAGGTGGGTGGGATACCACTGTGCTTGATTTGTTACATGAGCAATATCTTAGCTTGTCATTATTGATTAATTTGAGTTCTTTATTTCTTCGAAACTATAGACTTAGTATTTTGACTTCACAAACATCTGATGATATGGCCTTTCACTCGTGACCCATCTCGAAAGGGTTAAGGCAGGTTATCTGAACTGTAAAGTACGGCCATAAATTCCCAATCCTTTCTGGTGTTTCTAGTATCAGTGGTTTGGTCATTCGAAGGCATATTGTCATGGTTCTGTGATGTGTGCTCATTGTGATGGCAATGCCTACGAGTGTCAACTGAACCCTCACTATATTAATTTTAGTGGTTCCCGCCCCTCTTACTATAGATGTTGACCTAATTGGGTGGAGGAGAAAGAGGTACAGTGTTTAAAAATGGTTAACAACATTTCTTATCTGGAGGCTTAAAAGTCGTTGTCCCTGACTCCATCATGGACATATGCTGCTGTACTCCATTCCACTCCTACAGTGGGTGTGCAGACAGACCTTTGTGTGCCTCTGTCAGAGCTTTTTTTGCATCATATGAAATGTCTTTTGCTCTCAGTGGATAAATCAATTGATAAGTCCACATCTACTCCTATCTTTGTCCCTACCATCCCTTCCAGTAACTGCCTGGGTCCACCTCCTTTAGCCCCGGCTTCTGGTGTCTGCTTGGGTCCATCTTCTTTGGCCCCGAGATGCAGAATAAATATTCATGCCCATCTAAGTCTAAAGACAGAGATCTTCCCACTTCAAGGGTGGGATTCATGGAGGTCGACAGACCTTCTTCTAGCAAAGAAAAATGGCATGGTCATAAAAAGAAGGGTACTCTGCCCAGTTCTCCTCCACCTAAGTAAAAATGCTCACTTTGATACAGTGGAACTGTCAAGGTTTCCTTTCTAATTTGGACAACAAAAAGGCCTTCATTGATACCTATCATCTTTTGTGTTTTTTCTTACAGAAAACATTCCTGAAACCTGCCAATACTTGTCACCTTTCATCAGTTTTCATTATACTGGAATGACAGGTTGTGTGATGGCGAGTGCATGGAGGGGTAGTGTTGCTGGTTGACCAGCTCGTGCCCACCTTGTCTGTGCCACTTGATGCACCCTTGGAGGCCGTGGCCATCTGTGTTTCCTTGAGTTATTCCATCAGTGTTTATACTCTCCACCTGTCTCCTGGAGAAACTTATGATTAATGCTTGGTGCTCTCGTTGAACAATTGCTTTCTCCCATTTTAATCGTGGGTGATTTTAATGGACATAATCCCCTCTGGGGTGGTGCTGATGTTGATAAGAATGGTCATTCCTTAGAGTGTATGCTCTTGGATCACAATACTGGTTCTTATACTTATTTTCATGCACCTAGTCAGTCATTTACTGCCATTGATCTATCCCTCTGCTCCCCTTCACTTTTTCTCTTGCTTTCCTTGGAGGGTTGACAGTGACCCATGAGGCATTGATCATTTTCCTATCATTTTTTGGAGATTGGCCGTGGTTAATGTCATCCAACTAGAGTGCCACAGTGGAAGTTGGACTAGGCTGACTAGCTCTCTTTCACTTCTCAGAACTTGATCCTGGTCTTGTTACTCTTATTTCTATAAATGACTGCATGGAGGCAGTAAATAATTCCTTCATTCAAGCAGCTGTTAATTTTATACCTAAAACCTCAAGATATTTCCCATGGTATCACCGTTCATAGTGGTCCTAAGCCTGCCAGTAGGCTCGGAAAGCTCAGTTCTCACCCTGTTCTCATCGATATTCAACAACAGCTGTCCCATTTTCTCTATCTTCCATTAATATCCAGTTTTTCTGGATACCTGGCCATGTTGGTAAATACGGGAATGAGCTCACTGACACTGCACCTAAGTCCATCTCCTCTG